AGGTGCGAGCCAATCGCGGCCCGCCACGTGCAATTTCCCTCGGCGTCTCTCTTTCCCCGTTCATTTCTCATTCCTCCTCTGCTATCTCTTCCCTGCCTGCTTGCCTCCCTTCTTCCTCTTGCCTCCGCGCCGCCACCACCGCCACTGCCGCCACCGCCACCGCCACTGCCGCCGCCGCCGCCGCCACACCGAGCCGCGCTGCTAACTTATTTAAACGAGACTCGACCCCGTCACTACGAGTACGAATCCCTTTCGTATTCGGCACCGATGCGCCGTGACTCGAGAAAGAGAAAGAGAGAGAGAGAGAGAGCAACGACCCCCGCAACGATTCTTCGCCCGCTGCCTTTTATCGATCGGCCTCCTTTGTCCCGCGACCTTGTACCTCCACGGGATGCAACCTCTATGCCTCTTGGAAAAACCTACTTCAATCGCACGGTTGTCCGTGTCATTGGTCCGTGCGCTCTCTTTGTCGTTGGTGCCCCTTGCGCCCTGTGTCGAGGGACCTAGTCCAGTCGGAGTCCTCTTGATCCAATTATGCTACGTTCGAGCCCGCTCTCTCGGTCGAGAATCGAATCGTTTTGGAAATTTTCGAATGGATTCTTTGAGCAAACAGTTAGAGAAACTTGGATAAAAGGATAGGAAAACTTTTTTGCTCTTACGATTTTATTTATATGTCTTAATAGATGCGCCATTATCTATCGTTAATTTAGGGATTGAGCGATCAGTTTTCCAAAGAAACTTCATAATCGATGTATATATGCAAACTATGGACTTAGATGTAGAAACGAAAAATGCATTACTCATTTTTATGCTAATGTATTCTCGAATAATCTATCAACGAATCTCATCAGCGGAGATCGAAGATTTTTCCGAAAAGGAAATTGCCTTCGAGATATCGTGCTCGTGAAAGTCAAAGAATAACTCTATCAGCATAGCATGTCTCTCCTGGCAAATTCGTAGCTTCTTCCAAATGAAATGTTTATACTCTTCCTGAGCAGGAAACAGGCTGTAGCCGTTGCTGCTGCTCCTCGGACGTGAATTATGACTTCCGACCTATTTTCGCATTGTCGCGGAGTCCGGGGGCCTCGTTAACCTCCGTTGGAGCGCGGCTTTCTTCCAGTTTATGATTTACTGGCGTGTATAAATCATCCGCCGGGGGCCCAAGGTTGTATTTTCGACAAAAGTCACTCGGGTTGCTTGCGCCACGAGCCGGGACAGTTGGCCAGGACGTTACGCAACCAACCACTGAATGCCAGCACGAGCTTTTGACCTGCAGGAAGTCGGCCGTCCGACAAAAGGAACCACGCGGATTATTGCCTTGTATCTGAATCCCTACCGCAACCACCTGCGTATTGGTCGTTGCACTATATCAGAAGTTTTTATGATTTGGCCTCTCAATTTTTAATATTAACGGCCGGTAATAAATTTTAAAATGAGTTGTGAGACAATACTCTTATTGTCTTGGCAATGAATGGTGATAAGTGGGTTTTGAAGAATTTTACATCTCGACTTATATGATCGAAGAAGAAATTTCTTTCATTTCAAAATTTTTTTTCTTCAGAGACTAACACTTCTTTTCATGAAAGAGTGAAAATATTTTATTTGAGTAAATGATAGTTTTATATAGTAATTTTAATCGATTAAATAAAAAGTGAAATTTTATTTAATCGAAATAGTAAAATCGAAATGTTTCTATGGTAAAATGAAATGGATAGTCTTGAAGAGGTCAAAAGCTGATCGCGAAGCCATATGAAATACAGTATTCGCACTCGATAACATGTAATCGAATTAAAGCTATTTTATACCCAGTATAGATAATCCGGCAAGGCTTTATTCAGCTACTGCGTTCGACACGCCCAGCTGTTTCTTTGTTTGAAAAGTTACGTTCTAGTCAGTGCTGTATTTGTACTCTGCGAAGCCTGTTACCAACCGATTAATTGGCAACGAATTAAGATAGTCTTTTGATAAACTGTCGATCTTTATTTTAGCATGATTTTATAATCAATCGTCTTAACGTTACGCGAAATATTTTTCGTCAGAAAATTAGTGATCTTTAAGAAAAACGATGAAATTAAAATTTTTTGGAGTATAGAATAATAAGAAAATTTTTTGAAAAATTTAATAAATATTTTTTCCA